AAAAAAAAAAAAAAAAAACACATCTTAGTAAAACCAATACCTTTTTTTTATAATTTTTTTTTTGTAAATCTGACTTAATCTGCCAACAGCGGGGATTTAAAATGACAACTTTTTCACAAAAAATTAACTATTTCAACTTAACATTTTAAAATGTTCCGGAGAGTCTGACACTTTTATCTATATCTTAAATTAAAGCTAATGTAATATAATATTTTATTTAAAAAAATGTCGGACTTTATTTTGTCTTCACGGTGAAAATGGTTACCGAATGCTATTTTTGTGTAAAAATTCTCGATTTTGTATTTTACATTTTTAACCTTATAATGATATAAATTTTTGAAAAATGTATGGATCAGCACAATTTTTTTTATGAGAAATAATATTTTTTAATAATCCCTTTTTCATTCTTTATCTTAATCAGGATATTAATAAGGAAATAGAAGATCATGTAACTTTTGGATTAATCCACCAATTTTTTAAAAATAAACACAAATTTTGAACTTGTAAGATTCATAGAATAGGATACTGTCTAAGGAGGAGTGGAGGGAGCCCCTCCCCCACAAGCTTTTAATGGGAAACAAATTATGGAAAATGATACAAGGGCCCAAAAATTGTTGGCTCCTCCAATAAACATTTTCTGGCTACGTGCTTGGGTGTTACCCTTGTTCTCTTCCTATAACAACGGCCTTTGACACCCACATCTAATCCGGAGTGTAAGCCGAGCACGGTAACTGCTGTATGATCAAACGTGCGTGAATACCAAGATGAGTAGACTCATCATCATCTTTGTACACACTACACACCTCGGTACCCCCTCCTTTTAGTGTTTTGTTGTGTGTTACGGCAAAAGGATAAATATAATTCATTTTCCTCATGTTAAGACGATACCCTAGTATTAAAATATCAATTTATTACAGTTCTACGATTTTTCAACAAATTTTTAACCTTAAAACTTTTTTCATACCTACTTTGAATTACTTTTGGTTTTGAAATAAATATCTGATTAATTAAAAGTTTGAACGGTCTTTCTACTAAAATATAGAGAAACAAACTTGCTGCATAACTCATTACTACATCCGATACAGAATTAGTAATCTGAAATAAATTTACATTCATTCTTAATACATTAGTAATAATGTATTAATAAATTATTGATAAGATAATTTTGTTACTTAAGAGTATGACAAAAAATAGACGAAACACTTTAATTTTAATACAAAAATATCATTACGAATTGTGTGTTACTTTCATATTTATTATTTAAGATAAGGACTTCTGTATACATAAAACCTAGGATATTATATGTAGAATCACAAATCAAGTGTATTGATCTAATGTCTGAATGTCAAGTGTACGAACCAACTTGAAAGTCATATAATTTAAAAATAAAATCTAAGTTTAAATCTCACTCTTCCGTTACATTTAAGACTATGTTATATAGGCCTAATTTAGGGTTTAAAACTAAGCTTAAATTTAGCTACATGTTAAAAAAATTATTGGAATAATTGATAATGAGATATACAGTGTGATCAGTTTACCATAAACCGCTCGATTACTCTAAAAACAAATACAATCATTTTTGATTATTTTTAATTACATATAATTCTTGATTCATCAGCTAATATTTAATTTTTAGAATCATCCCTTATAACTTAAAGGGGTGTCAACTTTATTTTTTTTTAATGGCAACATACATATTTAACTAGATTATAAAATAGGAAATAATCTAATTAAGAAAATGACTGGTCGGTAACATTTTTTAAAACAGTATTTCTAGAGTTATTAACAATTTCAATTAATGACTGGAGGTATTGAATGGGTGCTTCTATTTTTAACACGAGTCATTTTTTGACGTAATCTTCGTCCTGCCCAAGAATAACATTCAAAATATAATGTTTCCATTAACAAAAATAGTTGACACCTCTCTAAGTATAAGGGATGATTCTAAAAACTAAATATTAGCTGATAAATCAAGAATTATATGTAACCAAAAAGAATCAAAAATTATTTTTCTAATGTTCTATTTATTGTGTGAGTAATCAAGTGGTTTATAGTAAACCGATCACTTTGTATAGCTCATTATCAATTCAAAACATTTTTTTAACATGTAGCTAAATTTAAACTTAGTTTTAAACCCTAAATTAGGCCTTTATGACATAGTCTTAAATGTAACGGATGTATGAGATTTAAATATAAATCCGTGTTTATTAATTTGCTATTGACGTAACACCAAAAATTAATCGTAACGCAAATTTTGACAGCGTCTTAGTATGCATATTAAAGTGTAATTTTTGAGAAGCATGCAAATATTTTAAATCTTTTACTCATTTAAAATTTAACTGTTTTTTAATCGAATATTAGAACAGCGCGCGCTATTCAATAACCTAAAATAAGTTAGTAATTAGCTAAATAGCATCTCACTATAAGATATGACTAACCTCTATTTAATACGTACTAGTTAGAAGCACTTTTTGGTACTAAGAAACTATAAAACTTACATATATTTTGATATTAAAATGATCAGGTGTTCTTCTACTTGCAGTATCAGTGACAGGAAATATTGAATTCACCATATAAGCGTTGAAATTTAAATGTGCTACAANTTTTCATACCTACTTTGAATTACTTTTGGTTTTGAAATAAATATCTGATTAATTAAAAGTTTGAACGGTCTTTCTACTAAAATATAGAGAAACAAACTTGCTGCATAACTCATTACTACATCCGATACAGAATTAGTAATCTGAAATAAATTTACATTCATTCTTAATACATTAGTAATAATGTATTAATAAATTATTGATAAGATAATTTTGTTACTTAAGAGTATGACAAAAAATAGACGAAACACTTTAATTTTAATACAAAAATATCATTACGAATTGTGTGTTACTTTCATATTTATTATTTAAGATAAGGACTTCTGTATACATAAAACCTAGGATATTATATGTAGAATCACAAATCAAGTGTATTGATCTAATGTCTGAATGTCAAGTGTACGAACCAACTTGAAAGTCATATAATTTAAAAATAAAATCTAAGTTTAAATCTCACTCTTCCGTTACATTTAAGACTATGTTATATAGGCCTAATTTAGGGTTTAAAACTAAGCTTAAATTTAGCTACATGTTAAAAAAATTATTGGAATAATTGATAATGAGATATACAGTGTGATCAGTTTACCATAAACCGCTCGATTACTCTAAAAACAAATACAATAATTTTTGATTATTTTTAATTACATATAATTCTTGATTCATCAGCTAATATTTAATTTTTAGAATCATCCTTTATAACTTAAAGGGGTGTCAACTTTATTTTTTTTAATGGCAACATACATATTTAACTAGATTATAAAATAGGAAATAATCAAATTAAGAAAATGACTGGTCGGTAACATTTTTTAAAACAGTATTTCAAAAGTTATTAACAATTTCATTTAATGACTGGAGGTATTGAATGGGTGCTTCTATTTTTAACACGAGTCATTTTTTGCCGTAATCTTCGTCCTGCCTAAGTATAAAAATGAGAATAACATTCAAAGTTTAATGTTTCCATTAACAAAAATAGTTGACACCTCTATAAGTATAAGGGATGATTCTAAAAACTAAATATTAGCTAATAAATCAAGAATTATATGTAACTAAAAAGAATCAAAAATTATTTTTCCAATATTCTATTTATTGTATGAGTAATTGAGTGGTTTATAGTAAACCGATTACTCTGTATAGCTCATTATCAATTATGAAAATGATTTTTTTAACATGTAGCTAAATTTAAACTTAGTTTTAAACCCTAAATTAGGCCTATATGACATAGTCTTAAATGTAACGGATGCATGAGATTTAAATATAAATCCGTGTTTATTAATTTGCTATTGACGTAACACCACAAATTAATCGTGACGCTAATTTTGACAGCGTCTTAGTATGCATATTAAAGTGTAATTTTTGAGAAGCATGCAAATATTTTNACTTTATAATGCTATAACTTCTCGAAAGATGTATGGATCAATATAATTCTTTTTTTTTGTAGATGCATGATGCCTTTACCTATCATTTGGTATAATTTTTTTATAAATCTGACTTTTTACCTGCCTACGGGCGGGGATTCAAAATGACAACTTTTTCACAAAAAATTCACTTTTTCAACTTGAATTANTCTATTTAATACGTACTAGTTAGAAGCACTTTTTGGTACTAAGAAACTATAAAACTTACATATATTTTGATATTAAAATGATCAGGTGTTCTTCTACTTGCAGTATCAGTGACAGGAAATATTGAATTCACCATATAAGCGTTGAAATTTAAATGTGCTACAACTTTGAATAATTTCCATGATAAAATATTTTTTAAGAAATCTGTAATAATAGTTCAATTGTTTTAGGTGATAGTAAAAAAAATTAAAATTAAGTACCTTTTTAAACCTTTTAAATTTTATTGATAATTATTCAAATATTAATTAAATTTTCAAAATATAAAAATAATTTATGNACTTATTGAAAAGTGTATTGATCAATATAATTTTTTTATGGGAAATACTATTTTTTAATAATCCCTTTTTCATTCGACATACTAAATCTTAATCAGGATATTAATAAGGAACTAGCAGTTTATGAAACTTTTGGAATAATCCACCAATTTTTTAAAATAAAACAGTATCTAAAGATTTGCATCGAAGCGTTTTTTTTTGATAGTGATTTTAATCACTGTC